CCCCCCGTGCCAGCTCGGATACTGACCCTCTGCAGAGAGTCACTCCAAGTACAGGAGTCACCAAACCTACACAGTGGGGAAACTAAGACCACAGACAGCAAGGAGCTAGGAGGCTACACTGCAAGCCAGGACAGGGCTTGGACCCAGGTCTGGCCGGGCCACTTGACAATTTCAGTGACTTCAGGATAGTGACCTTCATGCCACCTGCCCCACACCTGCCCTTGACAAATGTTGTCAATAAAATGGGTTCACAAATCCAAGGCCCAGAGGCCCGAGGCTGGAGGCCCACTCCTCCCAGGACCTGACTGTTGGAAGTCACCCTCACCAGGTTCACAGAACGAAGAGAGCGCAGCTTGACCCCGGCATCCGGCAGGCTTGGGGACACCTGATGGCCTCTAGAGTCCCCTACCCCCAACCACCTCCCCAATCAGCGCTGTCCCCACTAGAGCCTCCTCGACTGTCGCCTTACTGGATAGCAGGAATACAACCCCGGGACCCGTGTGCACTCACTGTCCCAGGCTCCTACCACGCCAGCCTTGGTCCATTCCCACCCCCACCTCCCACTTCCAGCCTTGGCCCTCACTGTCGTTCTGCCTCTGCCTGTCTCCCTAGAGCCAGGTCACTACAACCACGGACAGGGTTTGAACAACTGTCCCTAAGGGCACAGCTGTTCAGGACCAAGGCTGCCTCTTCTGTAATCCCAAAGCCTGGCATACAGCAGGTGCTCAGTAAAGATCTGGTAGGTGAAATCACTGGCCATGGGGACACACTACCCACAGTGCAACAGCAGTGGCAGCCTTTACAGAGAGTAAGCGCCCCATCACCAGAGGTATGCAAGGAGCCATCCACCACCAGAATGCTGTGAAGTTTCCCAGTCCAGGGCTGGAGACTGGGCTCAGAGAGTAGGGGCCCCACGAAGCCTACCTTCCCGCTTCATGCCCATGGCCAGGCACTTCTGGTAGCGGCAGTACTGGCACCGGTTCCGCTGCCGCTTGTCGATCAGGCAGTCCTTGTTGTCCCGACAGGTGTAGGTCAGGTCCTTGCGCACCGTCCGTTTGAAAAAGCCCTTGCAGCCCTCACAGCTATACACGCCGTAGTGCTTGCCTGCGGGGGCCAGGGGGGGCGCAGGCCATGAGCTCCTGCTCCCCACTGCCAGGCCCCTGGTTTCCACACCGTGGCCTTTGGGCTCCAGTGCTGGGGCAAGGACTGGGCCCCATCGGTACCTGCCTTGACTGGGCCCCATCGGTACCTGCCTTGTCCACATCTGAGGACAGTCGTCCTCCCCAGGGGCTATCAGGGTGTAGAAGTGGACTCGGGGGGCCCTTCGCCCAAGGCTCAGCCCAGAGGGACAGCCTGTATTGCTGTCCCCTATGCCACTGTCACCACCAACAGCTGCTTCCTCTCCTGAAGCCTCCAGACCACCCTGCCCACTCTGTGCTCCCCTATTTACTGTCACCTCAATGTGAAGAGCCGAGAAGGTTCCCTGCAAAAGGCCGGGAGCTCAGCACCCTCCTCACTGGCAGGCAGACTCCTGCCTCCCTGCACCCCGCCCGAGGGCCCTGCGGTCCTGCTGCACCACGTGGCCTACCTGAGGAGCGGTCCCCGCAGATGGCACAGATGTGCTTGGTGAAGGACGCCATGTTCCCTGAGGGGTGGGCCGGGACTTTGAGGACGCCATTGATGCCCAGCGGGGGCTTGATGTCCTCGGTGCTGCTGACGGGGTTCATGGGCGAGTTGAGCTAAGGAGGGAACACCGCACTTAGCCCTGGCAGGGGATGGGAACCCAGGTGCACATGCCAGCATCCCCCCAACAGCCCTCTAGCAAGGAAGGCGCTGCCACACCCCCACTTTACAGAGAGAAACAGGCTCCAAGAGGGGCCCTGCCCACCCCAGGCCACAGCCAGGGAAGAGCAGGGCCAAGCCCCACTGAGCACCAGCTGCATGCCTGCCCCCCACTTGCTGGGCCAGGCTGGTGAAGGCTGCCCTGCCCTCAGGGCTCCACCCTCCCACTGCCAACCCAGACTTCAGAAGGGGACCCCCGCAAAGCCCCTGTCCCTCGCCCAAGTAATGAAGAACTGCCTCCCCTTACTGGCCACTCCCTGGACAGGACAGTGTGAGCTCCATGACCCTCCTGGTGAGCCAGGCACTTTGGGGATCCCCAACACACAGAGGGGCACTGAGGCCTGGTCACAGCAAGGAGGGAGGTCCACCCAGAGGCCACACTGCCCAGGCCTCGGGGGCAGGATGGGGTCTCCGATCACATTTCAAGGAGAGAGGAACAGAGACACCCCTTGAGCATCCGCAGAGAGGAACACCATTCCCTCTCCACATAGCCCCTCCGCCCTGCCCACGGCAGCCTGACGCCATGCCAGAGGAAGCGTGGGAAACTCACCAGTCACCCTGGCAACAGCTGCCGAGGCTGCAATGACACAGCAGTTTTGGTTCCGCTGTGTCCGCCCTGGCTCTCCAGTCAGCACCAAGGGCACACAGGTGCTGCCCACTGCACCCTGCAAGCCAGCCTGTCTCCCTAGAGACCAGGACCCTGGCTAGGCAGCCCCCAGTACCCCCACTTCTGCAAACCTCTGACAAAGGCGGAAATCGAGTCGTGCAGATGTCTCCGGGAATGGGCAGCAACAGCCGCTGTCCCCTGGTAGCCTCGGGCCCCTCCGCACACAGGAACCTCACCCCCTTCCTTCCCCGTGGCCCCCAACTCCCATCCCCCTTTCTCATGGGACAGGAAGAGCTCAGTGCTCAAAGCACACACAGCAGAAACCACCCCAAGTGGCATTTCACAGGCCTCCCGCCTGGAGCCAATCTCCCAGTCCTGGCCGCTCCGGGTCCTTTCTCCGCCTGGGTGGGCTGGGTGGCTCTGCGAGGATGCTTAACCCTCCAAGGAGCTCAGGCAGGCTGCATGGAGGCAGGAGGCCAGCTCCAAACACTCGGCCATCAGGACACAGGAGTCCACAGGGCAAGTGTCCAGGGGGAAGCTCTGTGTGACCTGTGCACTGTCTGCAGGAGGCAGGAGTGTGTCCCAGATGACAGAGGGGACTAAGAAGGGGCACAGCTAAGAGAAGGCACCAACTACATACCAAGTGCCCCTGTGCCCTGGGCTACTCAGGATGGCCTTGGACAGCTTGGGAGCTCCACAGGGAAATGGCCCCCCATTTCCCAGGCATGGACACAAAGGCTAGGGGAGGCCAGGGATAGCCACGGAGTGCACGCTGGGGCCTCCAAGTCAGCAGGCAGAAACCACGAAAGTGATCCAGCTTGTGCAGAAGGGAAAATTGAGGCCCCCAAGAGGGGAGGCTCACCTGGAGCCCCTCGGTGACCCCACCCTAGCACCTGCACTGCTGGCTGCCAGGTGCATTGCAGTGGGAGGGGCAAAGGGAGGGCAGCCACAGCTTATCCTCGGGAATCTGCCTCCTCCAGCCACTGTGTGACTTTGGAAAAGTGAGCCTGAGGTTCCTCACGTGCAAGGCGATGCCAGCAGTACCTGGTCCAAGGGCTGCTGCTGGGTAACTGAGCTGGCCCAACGGCCATGCTGACAGAACCCGGCTCAGAGCACGCCAGTCACAGCGCATTCCCACTTGGGCTGCCCAGAGGAGAGGCCACCGGCCCAGCGTGGGACGACAGAAGGTGGACATTCCAGGCAAAGGGGCTGCCCAACTAAACATCCGGAAGTGGGGGGAAAGCACCAGGGGCCAAGGGCAGACCCCAAGGAGCCAACTGTGGGGAGCCAATGAGGACATGGGAGGGGCCTCTCCAGGGCTACAGCCTTCCCCAAGGTGGGACCGGGCCACCACTCCACGCGGCTGGATCAGCCTAGCGATCCCAAGCAAAAGAACTTGAACATGTCCGCTTTCTGTGGTTGCACAAGCCATGCTGTGTGTGAAGGGAGTCACCTGCCCTATCTTCTGCCCCCCGCCCCAGGTGCAGGCCCTTGGTACTGGGGCCTGCCCTAGGTAAACTGAGGCAGGGCCAGAAGGAAGGCTGGCTAGGATCCCACCAGGGAAGGAGCAGCAGGCAGGACAGATAGAGAGGTTTGTCACAGTCAGTGCCGTGGCCACACTGACTTCCAGGCCGTGAGCTGCACATCCCTGCCCTCCTGGGTTCCTCTGGGCACAGAGTCAGCCAGTGCAAGGGAGCCCTAGGAGACCCTGCCCATGTGGGAGATGAGGCTGAGCTATGTAACCTCTCTGCAGGACCCAAGCCACCCACTTTGGGGTTTTTTTCTTTCTTTTTAATCCCCACCCGAGGACATGCTTAGAGAGAGGAAGGGACAGAGAGAGAACCATCAATGTGAGAGAGAAACATCAATTGGTTGCCTCCCACACATGCCCCAACCAGGGACTGGACCCACAACCTAGGTTGAGGGAATCCAATGGGCAACCTACGGTGCACAGAGTGATGCTCCAACCAACCGAGCCACTCCAGCCAGGCCACCCGCTTTGCTTTTCATCTCAACTGCTAGACAGTCTCCACACGACTACCAGGGTGAGGCTACTAGGGGTCTGCAGGTCGTTCTTCCCCCTTCTCAGCTCCAAGCTGCCAGGCCTTGGGCTGGGTTCACAGCTCTCAGAACAGACCATGGTCAGCCCCCGGGGCCTCATNCAGGGCCAGAAGGCAGGCTGGCTAGGATCCCACCAGGGAAGGAGCAGCAGGCAGGACAGATAGAGAGGTTTGTCACAGTCAGTGCCGTGGCCACACTGACTTCCAGGCCGTGAGCTGCACATCCCTGCCCTCCTGGGTTCCTCTGGGCACAGAGTCAGCCAGTGCAAGGGAGCCCTAGGAGACCCTGCCCATGTGGGAGATGAGGCTGAGCTATGTAACCTCTCTGCAGGACCCAAGCCACCCACTTTGGGGTTTTTTTCTTTCTTTTTAATCCCCACCCGAGGACATGCTTAGAGAGAGGAAGGGACAGAGAGAGAACCATCAATGTGAGAGAGAAACATCAATTGGTTGCCTCCCACACATGCCCCAACCAGGGACTGGACCCACAACCTAGGTTGAGGGAATCCAATGGGCAACCTACGGTGCACAGAGTGATGCTCCAACCAACCGAGCCACTCCAGCCAGGCCACCCGCTTTGCTTTTCATCTCAACTGCTAGACAGTCTCCACACGACTACCAGGGTGAGGCTACTAGGGGTCTGCAGGTCGTTCTTCCCCCTTCTCAGCTCCAAGCTGCCAGGCCTTGGGCTGGGTTCACAGCTCTCAGAACAGACCATGGTCAGCCCCCGGGGCCTCATTTTGCTATGCACCCCCCCCCCC